TGATGATGATGATGATGATGATGATGATGATTTTCTGTGTACCTATCAAGCCAGGCTTTATCTCAGGTTGAAAGCTGTAAACAAGTTGATGATGCCGCCATAAGCATCTTTAGCTGGCATCTTTTATGTTAAAAATGGAGAAGTCAGCCAATACGGGCATACAACAAGAAATTTAGATGATGTCCTAATCATCACGAGAGTTGAGAAACGGGCTGAACACCTGTCCAATCTATCCCTCTCCACCAAAACATGCTTGCGCCGCACGACAAATTTCCTTTTTGGGCAGATGGTGCTACGAGGCGCTCCGTATATTGGAAGCCTACGTTTAGCACGGGTTTCTCACGGTTATGTTACAAAATTTTCATTGGTATTGGTGTTGTTTTATTGGATCAGATAAATTTGCACTTCAGACAGACTAGCAGAGGAATCTGACTTGCAGAAAGATGTACTGCGGTCAAAAAACCATCTTGAATGCTTGCTTTATCAAACAGCACCTCGCTTAGAGTGATAAACCAAAAATGGTTCCTTGCGATACTGAGAAACGGCAACCAGAGTGATATTTCTTACACTGGTGATAATACTTCCGGGTCTAATTAAACGGGCGCTAAGTCTTTTCGGGCACCAGACTTACAATGCATGGGTTATACCACTGCCGCCAACCAAACTTCGAACGTCACTTTTAGCTACAGCTCACTGCGTGTGTCAGTACACCTGTGGCTGGGGCGATAACTAAGCATTGATGAAATCGACAAGACGCCGTAAACGTGATTAGAGGACCCTATTTAAAAAAAAAAAACTCATCGCAAAACACTGATCGAATCCAGGGTTCAATCGCCCGTCACCAGGCATCTAATCTCCATAAATCACTGAGTTCAACCCAACTCATCGTTCTAGGTCTTAAGCAGGTTCTTAAGCTGTGGTTCCTTGGAACCATATTGATTAGTCGTTTTAAGCCTGGCCTCTGTTCTCCGAAAAAACTCAAGATCACTCTGAAGCTACCTTGTTTGAGAATTATTTAGATATTGTAAGCTTTTGCGTATCTTATACGTCTTAGAAGATTCCACGTATTTACACGGAAAGAATCTATCCCTCAAATCCATTGTTGTCACTTGCTTGTGGCCACGGAATCACAGTGCTTTCAACAAGATAATAATACAGAAATAGGAACAAAACTCAATTACAAATCAATTTGGTTTTCATGGAAGACTCAAGTGAATCTCTCGTTTATGATATTTTACAACTGAATGTGCTGCACACAGGCCGCCTCATGTTTCAGTTGGCAGGATATTCGAGATATCTCAGTATATTTTCATGAAGGATGAAGGAAACTACTCACAAGGTTGCTGAAAACTCTTGGACAGCCCACGACCGGTTTCGTCCTTCTTGGAACTCATCAGGTGAGCGCAGTCCCCAAGTTTCCGTTAACCTTATGTTCAACTTGAACCGAAACTGGACTGTAGAATATCATAAACGAGAGATCCTCGTGGAGACCGAATTGATTTGCAAATGAGTGTATTTCTCGAAAACAATGCAATTTGGGTTCAAGTAGATCACAGGTTGACGGAAACTCGGGGACTGAGCCTACCTGATGAGCCCCAACAAGGGCGAAACCGGTCGTGGGCTGTCGGAGAGTTTTCAGCAACGTTGTGAGTAGACCCCCATAAGAACAAAACTCCTTGCAAGCTGTGCGCGTTCAGTATTGGCGTTAATATGGTAAGTTGTAGGCAGTTTTGTGTAAAACGTTACGGCAAACCCTAAGAAAAAATGAATTTCACGAAACGATCACTGAAATACTGGCCAACTGTGACAAATCGGGTGCGGTCTGTACGACCGTAGATACATTAGGCTATTTTAGTTTTTCACATGAGACATTGGAACGAGAGCACATGGCAGCCAGTGGGAATGATGCCCACAGATAGAGAGTAACCCCTTTAATGTATGGATGACAAAATATGGCGCCCGCTGAAACGGACAAGTGCATTTTTCTCCGAGAAGCCTCAATGTAACGCATTTTCCAACATACCGAGAAGGCGGTTTCATTGTTCCGAATTCGTTTTTGGATGCAGACAGAAAGTCAAGTACTGGTATTCGTTGACTGTGTTCCTTTGCATCGTGTTAAGGGTGAAATATCTACTGTTCGGTTAGTACACTCTGCCGCATATTTCACGCCGGATGATGAACTATGGTGTAAGTGAGTCTTTCAAATGCCATTTTTAACATGTTTCTGCTCGATACTGCAAATGGCCTCATGAAAGAGAGGGTAGATGAGAGATGGTCAAGCCGTAATCTGGAAATCAAGCTGTCCATTATAGGACGAATGGAACATGCAGACTTTGACCAGAGTGAGAACAGCCTGAAGAGGATAAACTAGTTGAAGGAAACCCTGGGGATGCGCCTGCCCGATGAGTCTGAGGAACGGCGAAGCCGGTCATGGACTATCGAAGAGTTTTCAGCAATCTTATGACCAGTGTGTGACCCTGGGGAAACAACAAAAATCGGCGTTTCGACTGAATGAAAAAAACAGTTTTTAACGATGGACAAAGAGGTGATGGAGGGGATTAGGAAGATGTAAAGGCCGAAGTGGATCCCTCCTCATTTGCAGCGCTTTAAATATGATGTCTGCGAGGATGACAGAGTGCACCGTTGCACTGACATTCATTTTTCAAGTGAGACTGTGTTCTGTGAGTGAAGTCAATCTTTCCTGAAAAGCTTACCAGTACTACACAGTTGTTTTATGCTCACTGCAAATCATCAACTGTGCGTATCTCAACAGAGCTCCAGAGTGTTTGGACCCCATTATCAACCGGACCAGTAGGTTGAACCGTTGACCACTGGGCATTCAAATCTGGAGCATTCAAATCGGACGAGGCAGGTGAATTTGTACGCAGTTTTCAGTCATTTATTAATTGGCTGTACAGCAGAAATATGTTACTGAATGCTTTGAGTGAGCAGCCGGCTTTTCAATTACCCTTTCGGGGCTGTGGAAACCATACATGTGTTTGTTGATACTGTTCCTTCCTCCATATTTTGCCACACCCCACATTGTGATTCACACTACAACGATAGATGAACAGAACTGTGATAGTGCAAACCATATATATATATATATATATATATATATATAGGAT